ATCAATCAAATATCTTCTCTATACTCAGTTTTCAATGCTGAATTCAAAAGAATTAGTTTCAAAACTTGAAAGTAAAGAGAAAATGCAACAATATGAATTGTTCGAAACTGTAGCGATTTTCAGCAAAGTCGGTCCTTTAAAGTTTTTCAAAAGTTTCACCCTGAAAAGCATTTTTTCAAAACTTAACACTAACTTTTTCTCACTCAGTTCAATGTCCTCTATCCAGTCATGTATTCATATATGAAAAAGAAAAAGTCAGGGAACTTCGACTTACGGGTATCTTACAACATTTACTTGGGGTGGTTTCTCACAGCTTTGGCAAATGCTTGTGGTCCACTCTGTTTTATCACTTGTCTCCAGCCATCTGGACGATCTTTCTTTTTAATTAATGGTAATTGTGGTTTGATATCCATTGGTTGCAGGTCAGTACCCAATGGTGTCAATGGACCATTAACCATTACTTCTGATATGTAATTTAATAATTTTTGTGCACGATTTTGAGATGGTACAAATTTAAATAATGCTGGGTTTTCATCGAGAAAACTTGTCGTTATTGAACCCTCTAAGAATTGTGGATGATTTAGAACGTTTAGTAAAAATGGAATATTTGTTTTAACACCACGGATTCGAAATTCTCTCAACGCTCGTACCATTTTTGAACAAGCTTCTTGATGAGTACGCGCACGAGCGATAACTTTTACAAGCAATGAATCATAGTGTGGACTAATGATAGCGTCTGTATACGCGCTTGCACTATCAATACGAATGCCTGAATAAAAAAAAAATAAGCAGATATTTATATCAAGTTATCGCTATCATTATTAGAGATATTAGTACATACCAAACCCTTCAGCCGATCGAAATACATCTAATCGACCGACATCCGGTTGAAAATTTTTGGCTGGATCTTCAAAGAGAGAAAAATAATATTTTCAGATAATAATGAAGAGAAACAAATGTATATTACCTTCTGTTGTCATTCGACATTGTACACTAGCTCCCATAATTTTTATTTTATTTTGTTCTAAACCAAGTTCTGGTAATTTTTTGCCTTCAGCTATTTTTATTTGCGATTGAACAATATCAATTCCTAGAACAAATATGTCTGCTGTAATTAATTACTGAAAAGAAAAGAATATCTGGCTAAATACTGAATGCACTTAATAGATGATGTGAGCATAAGGAACAAAATTCGTAGAAAGGATGTACGACTTGAATTCAAAAATTACCCTACCTGTAATTTCTTCCGAGCATGTATGCTCCACTTGGAGACGACAATTTACTAAATATAAGAGAAACGAAAATTTATCGGATTTAAAATGGCATGGTTGGGCTATACCTTCGATAAAATAATGTCTTCCTTGATTATCAAGTAAAAACTCCACTGTTCCAGCATTCTGATAACCTAAAATAAAATGAAAACATTTATTAGTTACATTACAATATTTGAATAAGTTATACTAAACTAACCAACATGTTTTGCTAATCTTACAGCATCAGACGTAATCCGTTGTCTCAAATCTTCAGCTAAATTTGTAGCCGGTGCAACTTCAATTACTTTTTGATGTCTTCGCTGTACAGAACAATCTCTAAAGAACAAAAACACGAAAAGAGTGTCTCATTTTGTTCGTACATATCTGATTTGATCACCTTTCGAATAAATGTACAACATTTCCAAAATGATCACCTATTATCTAATAAAAAAGAAATGTCCATATTATTCGGGAAGAATGAAGTTAGCAGATGAGATAGAAAAATGTCTTTATCGTTTTCACATATTGTTATACCTGTACTTCAATATGTCTTGATTGTGATATAAAACGTTCAACAAATAGTGAACCGTCTCCAACGGCTGTTTTTGCCTCTGACGATGCACGCTGGAACGCTTCTTCTAGTTCACTATCTTTTGTAGCTACGCGCATACCTCGACCGCCTCCACCTAAAAAGAATACTATTTAGTGGAATTATTACTCTTGCAATGAGATATAGTTCACCTCTTGCAGCCTTTAACATAATTGGATAACCATGTTCAGCCACAAAACTTCTCACTTCATCTAAATCTTTAACAGCATTTTCTGTTCCCGGTATAACTGGTACCTTTGCATCAATAGCAGCTTTTCTCGCATGTAATTTATTTCCCATTCGATAGATAACATCAGGTGTTGGACCAACAAATGAGATACCAGCTTCGGTGCAAGCTTTAGCAAAATCACCATTTTCAGATAAGAAACCATAACCGGGACTGAAAAGAAAAAATTTGTCACATGCATAGCGGAAAACATTTTCTAATTCATTTACTGTATTGCATCAACATCATTCTTGAGAGCTACTTTAATTATTTCAGGAATGTTTAAATAAGCTTGAATGGGTGTTAAACCTCGTCCAATTAAAAATGATTCATCAGCTTTGATACGATGTAATTGACTTTCGTCTTCAGTTGAATAAATTGCGACAGTTTTTATTTTTTGTTCATTACATGCACGAAATACTCGAATGGCAATTTCACCTAGAATAAAGAAAAACAATAAATTTTCACTTAAAAAAAGTCCATAATTGACTAGCCTCGATTTGCAACAAGCAATTTTTTAATTTCTCGTTTTTCATATGGTCGTTTTTCATTTTGTCGTTGTTCTTTAACAGATAATAATCGTTTCAAGAAGGTTGTTCGAGTAGTATACGAAGATTGTAATAATTTATTAACACGATACATTATTATAGAATATATTTTTCATTTTATAAGTCTATAAATAAAATATTCACAGCACATTTTATCTAGAACAACAAATGTAATCGGTGCCAGTACTCTACTCTAACTATTACTATGAACGTTCTATAAGAGAAAATAAGGTAGAACTGTATGATAAGTTCTAAGAAATATCTTCAAAATTTACTTACACTATACTCTAGAATAGTTTTTATAAATATAGTTCTTTCATTTAGTCATCTAAGTCAAAGTCTATGTCAACACCAAAAAGTGTTGAACAAATAAACGAAGCTATTCTTGTTTGTGGTGTTTAATATTCTGTGCAAGTTACCCTTGACTATGAATAGTTCTATAGACAGAGCTACATAAAAGAGTTTAACTTAAACTTAAGAGTATTCCCCCCCCCTCTTTTTTGACCCTCTTAAAGAGCGGAGAAGATGATTCGGAGGGACGTTGGTCACGGTGAAATTTATATCAGAGATAGAATATCGAAAAAGAAAATCAATGTATTTTTGCCCAAAACTTTCTGATATGTCCTTCTATGAGTTTTCTGAAAAACTCTAGTTTTCATCCAGTCACATTACGACTTCTCGAAAAAATGGTCCGATTGAGGTGAAAACTTTACCACGGATACTTCAGATCCTTCTCAGGTTCTTTTTTTCTTTTCGAAAATATAGTTTCCTTCGCGAGATATTCGAAAAATACAAAAAATCCTGGATAAAAAACCGGTTTTTTACTTTAAAAATATTCTCACGCCGAAAGTTGAGGGGTAGTACAGGGCTCTGTCTTTCAGGGCATTTGTAGTGATGTTTATCTCTCCACGAAAGCTCATCGAAAAATTCTGGAAGCCGGCTCATTTTGGAGAGCACACTTTTTCTATCAGACTATCTATAAGAAAAAATGTTGAATACATAGGAAAGGAGAGAAAAATTTACGAAACTAAGAAATGGATTTTCTAGGCTGTGAAGGAAAAATTTCATAATTTTTTCAAGGAAGGTCGTGGAGAGCTGGAAGTGGTCTCATTTTATAGCCTAGACTTTCATCTACATTAGACAATGTTCAGCACAAAATGAAAAGTTTTTTGCAAAACAGAGGGACGAGATGTACCCTTAATCAATCAATACAAAGACTGGAAGCAATTGAGATGAAAGCGATCTGTTTCGTGTAAACTACAATGTGAGAGTACACTGTACTATTATAGCTGATTCTCGTATTTCCGAATGTTAATTGACTATTGCATATATTTTATATGCTGGCACATACTCAGTTATGTGTGGCATATCTATCGTCACATTATCATCAGATCCTTCAAGTGTTGTTCTAACTTCAAAGCTACTGCATCCCTCTATCGTTGTGTTTTTCGAATGACTGTTTGGTAAATTTAGGATATTTCTCGTTTTCTGATCCTTAAGGGAAAAGAAAGTGTTTTGAAACAATGAAGCTGAAACAAAAAATGTTCGTATTGTTGAGATACATAAAATAAAAAAATCTTTTTATTTAAATTTAAATTAACTCAGGACGACAAAATCTTTTTACGAAACTTCACAGCACGTATTTTAACACATTCAGTGCCACACATGCTGAAATATATGACATGAATACGTCATACGACGTATACGATAGTGAATGTGTTAACAAGGCAAACATTTTTTTTTCTAGATTCATGGTTCATGACCAAAATTCAAAAATCCATCTATAGTTATTTTAATCATATATCATAAGCGATTCTCTTAGCTAGAAAGATGTTTACACAAAGATAGTGGATTAATTTCGGAACTAAGAAAACATTTATTATTTATCTTAAGTACAGAGTCAGATTGAGCGGATAAAATAGAGTATATCTTGATATTCTGAAGTAGCTTGGATTATTATTAATTTTTTTTTCAATTATTAATCATCTTTTGAAGCATAAATAAGAATTTTTTATTTCATGCGCAACCTACCTGTGTATAACGTTCACTGTGCGCATCTTTCCGTGCGCAAATTTCCGTGCACAGTGGGCATATAGATGGACATTTAGAGAAAAATCGAAAGTGCGCATTTTCGTGATTTTACTAGTGTCATGAATACTTCGTTCACGAAACGTACGAAACGGCAAAAAAACATTTTCTTTTAGGTGCTTTCCTTGTCGGAAAAAAATAAGTAACAAAATTAACGTAAAAGCTAGCACACTGTTCCGAAAAATTGAATTACTATCGAACACATAAGAATTGGATAAAAAAAAACAAATATTAGCAATCCGGAATCTTTTTTCTTTAAAATGACGAGAAAACTACTCGACTTGGGCGTATACTTTTTCAACTAGATGTGTTTCTTTTGAACGAACAGGGGTTCTCGGACGGTACTCAAATTGTAATGAGCTATCCACCTACATCCACCTCCTTGGAGAACTCAAAATTAGACCAAAATGTTAATTACCATGTCCTACATCTATAGCGCATGCGTTTTTCGATAGGGCTTATATATCGGTTTGTAGAATACCTTGGTTTTTAAGGCAAAATCTAGTTTTCTTAGTTCAGAAACATTTTTAATGAAAACTAAGGCCATATTTCGAATCAGCGCATAAAACTGCATCGGATGATGTATAATTATTCATTTTCTTAAGAAAAAAGTTTTTTGACAAAAATTTAGGACAAGGATCCTCCTCAGGGATTTTTCGTCTAAAAAATTTGTTTTCCCAATTCGGATGTTTTAATTTATAATAACATTTCAAATGTAATAAAGTAGTATTGAGCAAAAATAATCGCTTTCTGAGTTTAAAAAAACACATGTCCGCCTGATTTATAGAAAAATGCCCACTGTGCCGTGCGCATCTTTCGGGATTCCGCTTAATCATTCAATGCAAAGACTGAAAGCAGTTGAGCGATCTATTTCGTGTAACCTATAATGTGAGAGTAATAAATGTACTATTATCGCTGATTCTCGTATTTCCGAATGTTAATTGACTAATGCATATCTTTTAAAAATTAATCGATATTGTATCGTTGGATCTTACTTGACAATCTTCTCTATAAGATAATCTCTAACAAGTTGATGATTCATGATTAAGATTACCATATGGACTTTTCCAAACACTGTGTAAAATCAGCATGGATAAATTTTAATTTGTCAACTAATTCTTGTATAATAAACACAAGGTAAAATTTGATAATTAAATCCAAATAAGAAAAAACCTTGTTTAATACTAACAGTAAACACATTGTTCACGTTAATGAAAGACGATAAAGTGGTGTACAAACGACATCACGATATGATAAATAACCATAACACACGTATTGTCGGATTTGATCTTCGACATGATGAACAATCTAATTAAATACTATCCATATAAATTATCCATGCATCTTGTGATGGCAAGTGGAGTCAGTTTCCGTTAAAATTTGACTGTACAACGGTATAGTAGCAATACATTATAACGTTCAATAACCTAATGGTTTAATACATTGATTTTCATAACACACAAATCTAACTCTATAAATAATTACATTCATTTGGATATTTCAAATATTCACATTTTAATTGTGTACAATGACTACATAGTTTCAAACAAGTGCAATATTAGTCGAACGAGGCATACATTTTAATTGTTAACTATACAATATTTCCAAACGAATTTTATGTTGAGGTTTAATATTATTAAACATTATCAAAGACATATGTATGTGAGACTATGTTAGCTTTCGTCTCCTTAGACTATTTGTCGAGCATATTGTAGATAATGAAAGTGCAAAGAATATAAAAAAAAAGAAAGAATAAGACTTTAGGCAAATTATTCATGATTAATTAGTTCAAATATGAATGGTTGAATATCGTGATCAAATAAAACACTGATGTATAATTTTTAATTTGATAAAAAATTAATAAAATATCCGACAAGTGTTCTAGTCAAATGTAATCTGTTGATATTAATATTTTAAAATATTATTCTCATTCTTATTCTATTTTATACTATAATAATAGCAAGATTGTCAATAAAAGCCTTTCTCAATAATATAAATTATCGTTTGTTTGGGAGATGTGATAGAGGATGCATTATAATAAATATAATTCGATTCTAAAACTAAACAATAGATTACATAGGATTAATCTATAAAATTACAAAGCTAGAGTTTCTGAAATTTCAAATTAGCAGATTTAGCTGGCATTCGGCCCGTGTACGCCTTATCCAGTAGCACTGCATTAAAATCCTGTTCAAAGAGTAGCATGCGTTCAAAAAAAAGTACATGTGACTGTTTCTTGATTAAATCGAAAGCAAAAGTAGGTAAAAATTTAGAAAGTTACAGTTTTGACCATTTGACAAAATAAACTTTCAAACATTTTGTTATGTAGTTTTTTTGTCACATCTTTGAAAAACGTGTTTCGGATTTCTAAAATTTGAAGTGGATAACAAATAGACAAGATCTAATTCTGGACCGCATTAAAAGTTCTTCTCGGCTATTATAAAATGTCAAAAAATACAAAAATTCAGCAGTTTTTGGTGTTTTTTTAAGGACGATCATTTTTACTAGCGGAATGACGAGTTCCGTGAGAGCAATAGTACTCCACGTTAAATTTAACCCATATGATGGCACATGTTCAACTATGTGTCGCATATCTATCGTCACATTATCATCAGATCCTTCAAGTGTTGTTCTAACTTCAAAGCTACTGCATCCCTCTATCGTTGTGTTTTTCGAATGACTGTTTGGTAAATTTAGGATATTTCTCGTTTTCTGATCCTTAAGGGAAAAGAAAGTGTTTTGAAACAATGAAGCTGGAACAAAAAATGTTCGTATTGTTGAGATACATAAAATAAAAAAATCTTTTTATTTAAATTTAAATTAACTCTGGAACGACAAATCATTTTTTTCCCACAAAACATCGCAGCACGTAGCTCAACAAGACAAACAATTTTTGTTCCAGTTTCATAGTTCCAAAATACTTTCTTCGTGAGATTTGTTCTGCAAAGTGGACTTTTTACGGCTTTTTTTCCTACGAAATATGTAGAAAATTAAAATTTGCAAAAATTCATAACTCATGTGATTAATACTTAAAAAGTTTAAAATTTTTGCCATATATGTGGGTCAATGCGTTCTATAAAATGACCATAATAACACATTTAGGATAGGGTGAATCTTTTCTTAAATCAATTTTGACATTGTGCGCATGCCAACCTAACTATTCCATCAAGGTGGTGTTGACTTCTTTGAACTGATTTTCAGGATTTTTAAATATTTGATGGAAAATAACTAAAATTTATATTGTTACCTAGTTTGGCTTTTATGAGGTTTACAAAAATTCGAAAAACAAATATTGTCTCAAGACTTACCATGGTCGAATTATTAATGAATAGTAACTTTCTATTATTACAACTATTTGTGTATAATCGTATTTTCATTTGAAAATTGTTATTTCGCGGTATTTAACCATCGTGATCGTTGTCTGATATAAAATTAAAATATAATAATACCCAAGCAAAAACGACCCAATTTTTTGGGTTATTTATCTAGATTCAGCTCCACGTACATCTAGATGCACGTGGACCTGAATCTAGATAAATAACCCAAAAAATTGGGTCGTTTTTGCTTGGGTAGGTGAACCTGCGCATCGATCATTAACGTTACGAGTAAAAACAAATACGACTGAAGCGTATCGAATCAGCATAACATCGAGCAGAATTTCAATCGGTCGCAGTGTGGCCGCTGCTTCACGAATTACAATACTTTGTTACCGAAGAAAGTCGTTTACAGTCGATTCTAGCTATTTGTTCTGTTTCGACTAAATTGAATTATTACACTCAAAATCTCATTTCGATTAAGATGATGTAACAAAACCGTAGCATAATTCATAAATTCACTATACAAATACATTGCCACTTGATAATTCTTATCAGTAACTTTGAAATACACTGTATTGTGGTAACTATTCTCACCCTCACACACCCTCATACCCACACCCTTGGTATGGACACTCCTGTTTGACCATGTGAAGCAGACCTTAATGTCGCTCCTTGAAAAATATCTTTCTATCGTTTCTCCTCATAACGATTTTCTAAGAAGCACGGTTTTATTTATTAAAACAAAAAATGGGTTTACCACAAAATGAAAAGCAAAGCGAAAGAGAAGAATGAATGTTACTGATACTGATTTTCCATAATTCAGTGTTTAATAACCAAAGTCAACTTGGAATGGTCCATATCCTGTGTAACCGTGATTTTTCGAATTGTCTGCCGGATAGGTATAAGCATCGGGAGCTCCATGACTTAATGCTTGATAATAGTGCCTTTGAAAAGAAGCAGAGCAAAAAATAAATAAACATTAACTTGAAATGTTCCGAGAAAAAAAAGAAATCAAACTCACCCATCCGGTGTGTGAACTTTCATTGGTGCATTGAAACCGGTAATTACACTGAGATCATAATAGAAATTGTTATCATGAACTCGGTTTGCAACTTCGAAGAGTGTACCATCTCCGTATCCATCTCTGAAATTACCTGCCCATCCCTTTGGAACATTGACAGTCACGCTCTGTCTTCAGAAAAAGAAAGAAAGAATGAAAGACTAATTATTAGAAAATGGTAATCGATGATTATAGATCGAGCATCTTCTTTCTTACCCATATGCCAGCTTTCCAAGTGAACCTTGCCAACCATTATTTCCAGTTGCAACCAGATCAATTTGGTCAGCCCAATTGTTTCTGAATACAATCTGATTCGCATACACTAAATAAAATCGACTCATTTTCTGTTACAAAACAGTTTTATTAACTCACTATTACAGTTTTATAATTCTTCTCAATGACGGGAAAACGTTAGGCCAAAAGTGAATAATGCCGAGAAAGTTTGTCTGTGTGTAACTGATGACTCTGAGTCCTGTTCGTATAGTAGTAGTAAGCAAAGCGAAACACCGTGGGGATCGACTTTGTGGAGAAGAAAATGTCGCGAAAAGGGTCGTAGAAATGGTAAGAGAACTGACTGTTGTTTTGAAGTGAAAGGGACGAATACCTGCATTAATTGACGTCAAAATAATGGTAAATGAATTAAAGAACGCTGCCACGAAGATCAAACAACTGTTTTGAATGATTTAGCTACTAATAGCGTTGTCGAAGGATTTTTACTGCAGTTTTTGTCCACTTTCCTAGCTGATGCGAAATATGCACCGCATTGAGTTAGTGGTCACAGACTGGGGCGAATCGTTTAGAAAACAAGAAGACCCAGTTGATAAACCCATAGTGAAAACAGAAAAAGTTCCACTATTTATGAAACACTCCGTGTTCTTCCGCATCAGAAAGAAGGCGTAAGTGTGACCTTCTCCGTAGGTATCGATCTCCAACTGAACTTACCATCGCTGATCACAACACTCATCAACACAAGGCTGATTGATAATAAGAAATTCATTTTCTTTTTGAACAATCGTTGATGACGAAGAGCTGAATTCACTTCTTAAAATAAAATGAACCAGAAAAATAGTTGCACTTGTGAACTGAATTTTCAGAAATGTTAGATTTTCACTAAGCAGTACAAAATCTAGTATAACAGCTAGTCCACGTAATGGTAGAGAAAAAGGCTTCTAAACAGATGGCGCCTTGAACCATAAACGAACAGCGCACATGAGCTTTTTCATTTTTTTGTTCGGGTTGACAGTTAGTTGTTTCTTTCCTCCATCTGTGACTCGGGTCGAAAGTAGAACAGATGAACTTATTTTTCACATAAAAGAAATTAATTTCTGTGCTCAGATGACTGAGTCATCTGAATTTGTAAACGTGGTATTTTGAACGCGTGATTCCGCCACGAAATTTCCACGGTTTTCCAGCAAATGCGGCCTAAACAATTCTAAAGACAATGACCGTTTTGAGATATTTTTACCGGTTCTAGTTTTTACGATAGAATTAGCTTATTTGTTCAAGGTCATGAAGTGAAATACCACGGTTTTCCAGAAAATCTGCTTAAGCCTATTTTGAAAAATTTCGAGACTGCCATTCGAAAGAGCTTCGCTTCAAACCCTTCAACGCTAGGTTTTATCGAAATCGGCTCGGTGAATCGTAATTTTTCTTTCAAAAACTTTTTCGTGGTACACGCCCATTGCAGGAACTGTGGCTAATTGTGTGAAAGAATTGAAAAATGGCAGGCCGAAAACTATGTTTTCACTGTTTTTGTTAAGGAAATACTCATCACATGTTTTGATTAAGATATTAACCACTTCATGAACAAACACTGGATTCATTCGTATATATATTCATTCAAACATGGAATTCCATGTTTGAATATATATATACGCACTCCTCTCACGAGAGACGGCGGTGTGGGGTGATAGAGCGGCAACGAACATTCGAAGTGAAACAATACTCCTCAGTTTACTTCCTCTCTTCTCCGGCTTTCGTTTTCTTCTCGAGTCAAGTAAAACGGGACTTTTCTTAGATGTCTGACTTTCAACAAGTTGTTTTTGTTCCGTTTTCTTTCTTCACTTTCTTCTTTGGTGTAAATGGGAGTAGCAATACGTCAATGAAACACCGTTACTTTCATTGTTTCTGTTCTTACTCCGTTAAACAGAAATTGAATTTATTCCAGTGTTTGAGTGACAAATGTTTACTTTATCGTAAGATGATCTGCTTCGAGGACATAAACAGGTGGGGTGTTTGGCTGGGGCGGTACATCTGTCAAATGGTAACGCAGGTGTCCTATGGCAGACTCAGTGCGGACAGAAGCCACACATAGAGTAAAAGGGCAAAAGTTTGCTTGATTTTGATTTTCAGTACGAATACAGACGGCGAAAGCCGGACCTATCGATCCTTTTAATTTAACGAGTTTTTTGCAAGAGGTGACAGAAAAGTTACCACACGGATAACTGGCTTGTGGCAGCCAAGCGTTCATAGCGACGTTGCTTTTTGATCCTTCGATGTCGCCTCTTCCTATCACTGCGAAGCAGACTTCGCAAAGTGTTGGATTGTTCACCCACCGATAGGGAACGTGAGCTGGGTTTAGACCGTCGTGAGACAGGTTAGTTTTACCCTAATGTAAACTATGTTATCGCAATAATAATCCTACTCAGTACGAAAGGAACCGTAGGTTCGGATATTTGGTTTACGTGCTCGGTAGAAAGGCCGATGGTGCGAAGCTACCATTCGAAGGATTACAGCTGAACGCCTCTAAGTTGGAATCCTATCTAAACGCGACAATTTTTTGGCATCATTTGCTTCTTGTAAGCAAATTTATATAAATTCAAACTGTTTTTATAGTGAATTTATGAATTATGCTACGGTTTTGTTACATCATCT